CGGGGGACCATCTGGTGCAAACCGGCCACAAAGCCAGAGTGGAAGAATCCTTCTCTATCATCTACCGGGTGCCTAATAAAGTGCCAAAGTCATCGAAGCACCGCATGCTCAAACAGCAGAGGCTATTGCAATCCGCCTCAAATAACCAGTGTTTTGTCTTCAAAAGAAGCAAGTCCAGCTGCTACTACTGTCTTGGCCTTCAGTAGAGACTATAAATTCATGAAGTTGTAATGTTATCTTTCCTAATTTTTCTGACATTCAGTGTGTAGTGTTATGTTGATGCTATTGAACTGTAATCTATCAACATTATTGATTCGATGTCATTTGAACAAATAATGTTGTTCATAACACTAATTCATTCATTCACTTATAATGTATATATATATATATATATATATATATATATATATATATATATAACTGTAGAGCCTGATGATGAAGTTATCGAAAAGGGTACTCTTTCTTCAGTATCCATTCTTTTAAATGAAATTGGCTACCATGCAAAAAAGAAATCCGAGAAACTGTTTTGTTAACCACTGAAGCAAATATATGAATGATTATGAAAAAAAAGTAGAAATTGTTTACAGAATTCGCGAGTCAACGTCAGAAATTGTTGATGCTAAATAACCATATGTTTGGTTATTTGTTTTATTACTATAATTAGCACTTTTGTGAAATATATATATGCATAAATACATAAATAAATACATATCAAAACTACTTCATATATGCAGTGGGCGGACTACTACAACTACTTGAAATAAGTGTTTCTTATAATCCTACTGAGAGAAAAAAAACAACATTGTAGAATCCAAATGTGTGAATTACGCAAGAAGAAAGATAAAAATGTAATGTATGAATGAAACCAATAGTGAACACTGTGATAAACAATAACTGATTGACTGACTGACTGGTTTCAATGAAGAAATTTGCACAGATGTGCAGCAGTTTTACTCGCTACACTCACTCCTTGTAGGACAAAAAGTAACAGAAGAGAGTAAAAGAAATTCAAAGGAGAGTACGAGGCAAAAAGAATAGTAATACAGAAAAACAATCGAGTTTTATTGAAGATGAAAAATTACAAAGAGTGCATGTGCATCTTCGCCAGCCATTGCGAAAGATTTTGAGCCATATCACTGTGTGTTTCCCGTCGCCATTGGTTCTTATCATCCCGAGAGTTCCAACCAGTAGGTCAGTCTACACCTCCCTACGTGGATTTCATTGACTGATGGAGCCATGTTTTGGTTTGACAACCACTGGCCTTCTCTTTTCTAACCTGGTCCATCCTATATCAGCTATCATTAACTGTCGAGGAATACGATGGCTAGGCATGCGTAACACATGTCCTAACCATCTCAACTGATGTAGTTTCACAACCTCATCGATTGATTTTCCTTCCTTACCTAGCATTCGATCGACGCCTAACCTCAATATTGTTCACCTTGTTATACTACCTAACATAGGAGATAGAACGCAGGCACCTTTGATCAAAGACAGCTTGCTAGCCTTTTCATGTCTTCCACTTTCAATGGGCATATCTCATAGCCATACACATGAGGACAGAGCGAACTGCTGAGCAGTATAGAAAATAATAGTGTAATCCCTGTAATGTACTCTGTATTACGCATATACACTAATATGTCAGTATAGACAGGTATACAACGGAGATTATATGAAATCATTTATTTTTGAACTCATGTCGATCAACATGACAATTTTACAACTGAATGCAGTATGACTTTTACTTGATTTTCTAAAATTTTAGAACACGTTATTTAGGAAAAGAGAGTGTGAGACAATCCCAGAGTAGTCATGGTATTCAGCTGACTAAGGAAGAAATAAAACATACACGTGAATTTATACGCCTATAAAACACTATCTTGGTCTCAAACTTCGAATGTTATTTTGATTGGGAAAAAAACTGAAAGACGGAGACTATACAACTCTATGAATAACAAATAAGAAGGAACACAATGAAAATCTTGAACAAAACTCTAGTACAAACAACCAAACCGATCTAATATCACGTCTTCCAAAAGAATGGATATCCACGGAACTTCATCAAGACACATATACCCCCAAGCCAACCTATTAAACCAAAAGCCCCAAGCAAAGCACAAAGAAAATCGCCCTACCATATATAAAGGACATCTCAGAAATCACTGCAGGCTCTTCAAACCTTTAGGAATTGACGTCGTACACAAACCAACAAAATCACTTCACTCAGCTGGCTCTATGTCAACCAAAAGACTCAACAGCGAAAGAAGATAAAACCAACAAGAATGCTAGAGAATTTTTAGAACCCTACCTGGTATTCCGGTGAATCATCAATCAATAGACACATCGAGATAGACAAAATTTATCAACTGATAAGAAAGAAACCTCACACACAAAGGGTCAAAGTTCAAGTCAAGGAAACAATCAGTTCCAATACAAGTAACCCAGAAGGTATGAAAACACAAAAACAACCAATCACGTCCAAGGTCACCAGGAGAGATGATTAATAAACTCGTGAAGAAATCTAAAAGCTCACTTCATCGAATTGAAGTATGCGCTGAAGATGTCACCTAGAAGGGTAACGAAAGCTTCGCAAATTAACTATCCAGCTCAGAGAACACAACCACATCAAAACCAAACTTTATCAGTCTGGAGTAGAATTCATCCAATGTAGGGGAAAAGAATAGTCACTCCGTCATAATCATCCCAAATATTTAAATGAAAGGCACTTCTACGCTCAACCTAAATACGAAATTCACAAATAAACACAAAAGCGTATTTGTATAAAACCTTGTACTACTGATATATTTGAAATGAGTAGTCGCATACCACCCATATCAACCGATAGTACTTGAATCCCAGATTGAGATGATCTAAACACCAGATGGCCATTTCGCTCGTTTGGAGCCAAGCTCACCAGCCGCATACTTGGCTTTTGGTCTGCTTAGAGATCCGAATCAGTTCAAAACACACGAATTCTGGCTAGCAACTTGAGCAAACCGGTGTCACCATAAATCAGGTTCACAATTTGCAATGTACACCAGTTCAAGGAGGGTGGAGGTTGAAATCTCACTGTCTGTCTGTTTTCGACATAGAACTTTGCACCGATGTGCACCAGTTCAAGTCCCCACACTCCCTCCATGTAGCACACAAACCAAGAGAAGAAAGTAGAAGAAATGCATAATAGAGACAGTAAACAGAGGTAGAAGACAAGGGAATAGTAGTAACGAATGACAAAACAGTTTCATTGGAAATCATAAGTCACAAGGAGTGGATGCATCTTCGCTAGTCATTGAGAACGATTTTGAGCCATGCCACCAATTGTTTCCAACCTTCGTTGGTTTTTACCATCCCGAGGACCTCAACGGGGAAGTCTACACCTTCCTAAGTGGCTGGCTTAAACTAACTGTTGTGGATTTCATTGACTGGTGCCAAGTTTTTGTTTGACCTCCGCTAGCTCTTTTCCAGTCTGACCCTATGTCAGCTAACATTGCCCGTCAGTCGAGGCAGGCGATGACTTGGCATACGTAACACATGTCCTAACCATCTCACTCAGTCGATGTAATTTCACAGCCTCGTCGATTGATTTCCCCTCCTTACCTAGAACCCGACCCATGCCTAACCTCAATATTGCTCACCTTATTATACCACTTCACACGGGAGATAGAGCGCAGGCACCTATAATCAAACACAGCTAGCCGGCGTTTTCATGTCTTCCACTCTCAATGGCCAGGTCTCACAGCTAGCCATAAAGGAGGACGGAGCGGACTGATGAGCAGTACACTCGCCCTTTGGTCGATAGTCGAACATCTCGTCTACGCCAGAGTCGGCGTAAACTGGGATATGCAAAACCAGCCCCCCGTATCTGTGCTGAGATTTCGTCAGAGATCAACCCGTTGGCACTGGCTGATGGTACTTCCCAAATAAGTGAAGCGGTCAACCAAATCCCACCGTAGTTATTAATATTTGAGTTTTTTTTTAATTTTCTTAAGCAAAGCTTTCGATGTCAGTATGTTACGAAGAAATGAAGGGTGTCGATATATCTGTGTGGAACGCCGAGGGGGAAATGTTTCTGTACTATATGATTTGTTAATGCATTATCAGTTTGGTTAGTCTGGTGTTGCAAGTTGGTCTATTGTTTTTACCCTTTGTCGTTGCATTAGTTTCCAATGTCCTTTTTAAAGCCAAACTTGAACGCCATATACTGTGGTCTAAATAATTTAGTTGACAAAGAAAACTGCAACTAAATCTCACCGTATTTTCCTTTGTCAACTAAATTATTTAGACCACAGTATATGGCGTTCAAGTTTGGCTTAAAAAAGGACATTGGAAACTAATGCAACGACAAAGGGTAAAAACAATAGACCAACTTGCAACACCAGACTAACCAAACTGATAATGCATTAACAAATCATATAGTACAGAAACATTTCCCCCTCGGCGTTTCACACAGATATATCGACACCCTTCATTTCTTCGTAACATACTGACATCGAAAGTTTTGCTTAAGAAAATTCAAAAATTCAAATATTAATACAGTTAACATCTCTCACGGACTTCAGGCTTAGTGTCAACATTTCCTAAAATTGACATTCTTGAGAACATGATGAATTCGCAGAAAGTTTCTCTTCAAAATTATCAGTTCTATTTGACTAAGTTAACCAAGGATATCAAGAAGTCCCACGTGCTTTCTGTTCTGCTTTAAAATGCTTTTGCACACCATACCCTAACAGCCAACTGACAATTGACAAATACATGGCTGGTGACATTGAAACTAATTAGTGAAACTTTTTGATGATTAGAATGTGAAGACTATTGCACTTCAGTATAACGAGATACGCAGGTAAAGTATCTTCAAATATCTATGAAGTACCTCGCAAAAGGACAGTGCAGAGAGCGATTTCCTCGGATACATTTTCGTCTAACCGCATTGTCTTGATTAGAGAACAAAAGACATACATATAGACGTCTTTGCATTAATTAGAGACTATTCACATGCTTACCTGAATAGGATGCAAAGATTCATCAAAGATTTCAACTATAGGATCACAAGCATTGCTAAGATCTCGGTGTTTTATCTGTAGGTAAATTGCCTGAGCTAATGCACGAACAGTGGATTTTGGATCTGGTCTGGTAACAGTTGAATCATGCAACCATATGCTTGATGTTGAACTGGATCGATAAAGCAGAGGAAGACCGTTTTGACGACTTCTTGGGACCTATAATGCAAACCAAAAAGAAACAAACAATATATGAGACTATTGTTATTTAAGAAAACTAAATAAGATATAAGTCAGGAAATAGGAAGGTATTTTTGTTGATCGTCTTTAGCCGACTCGAATAGCGCAGAACACTAAATTGTATTAAATCATTTCAGCTTAATCACTAATACGTAACAAACACCTTTATCCACTAGGCTATGAAACGCCCAGTATGGAGGGCCCATGATATATACATGAGGCTAATCGTTTCCTGGAAAGCACAAAGTAAAGTAGGTGAAGCACAATTTGAATCTGGGATATATGCGATGAAAATTTGTTGCTTAAATCGATGAGCTATGCAATTTAGAAAAATTATACTAAAAGATTGACAGCAGCTACTTTGGCATGTGCTACTGATAAGCAGTATATAACGAGATGCTCATCAACATAAAAAACATCAAATAGCAGGGAAATGGATTTGATGTCACGGAAAGCAAAAGATACATCGTTGCGGGATCCATGGGAGACGTGAAAGCAACACAAAGAAACACAATTTGAAGGCTAGAAGTAGCACAACACGGAAGATCTGTGCAAATGGTGATTTAAAGATTTATTATTGTTTTTGTCTCCTTTAGTTTCTAGAGGAACATATGCCTTCAGCCACACGTCTCCATTGCGTTCGGCTGTCCGCCAACGTTTTCACCCCGCTCAACGTCTGCCCACATGCTTTCATCTCTTCATCGCAAGACCTCCTTCATGTCATCCTCGCACTGATGACCAACTCACCGCTTCCTATTCGAGCTTCACTCGAGAGAGAGATCCTGGCGTGTGATGTCACTTGATGGTTTGTTTTTTCTGAGTATTGCCTACAATCCACCACCACTTGTTACTGCATATTTGTTGCACAATTCGTTCCTGAAGGGTTGGTTCGCTACCAGAGATCCCTTCCTGTTGCTGATATTTACTGGCAGACCATCTGATCTTGAGTAGTATTGAGCGAAGACAGCAGTTGATGAATATCTATAGTTTGTTTGAGGTGCTCATGAAGCGCCAATTCTCTGATCCATGAAGTAGCAGTGAGTTCACATTGGAGTTGAAAATCCGGATCTTATTTTTGATGCTGAGTGCTGTTGACCTCCACACACACTTGAGAGTAATGAAAGCTTGTCTTGTCTTTCCGATCCTTCCTTTGATATCCTCATCAGTTCCGTCCGCCTGTAGCTGAAACGATGCTTCCCAGGTAGGTAGGTAGGTAGGAGAAGGAGGTTGCTTCTTTCAGGTTCCTCTCATTTATGCCGACTGCTGTCTGTTGTTGTTGCTACTGGCCAAGAATCTTCATCACTGATATAAGAAAAAAACTTGTGCACTGTGGTAGAGTATAATTCCATTATGGGTAAATTTTGTTTTGATAAAGTCTCACAGTGTTATACAGTAATTTTTTATTATTTTTATTATTTATTATTTTTATTTATTTTTGATTTTTAAAAAATCTTATATAATTTATGAGGTAATTAGATTCAATATACTGTAATGCACGCTGAAAATTCCATACCTGTACCACAAATACTGTTTGGAATAAAGCTGTTATTATTATTATTATTATTAATGTTTACTGATGACGTTTCGAGCACAATTTATTGCTCATAATCATATCAAGAAAATCACACGACTTCTTAAATTCATTTATATAGTTCCATTATTTTTCACTTGATTTTCACTTGATTTGATTGGCAGTAGTATTTTCCATATTTCAGGTATGAGTGATGACTCATTCTTACTGCATGTGTTTAGACGGCGCAAAGTACATACCATACTTACAGACACTGATCGCCAACTGATTAAGTGCAATTTGGGCAGCCTCCATGCTATCGCAGAGTAAGACGATATCGTCTGCATACTCGAGGTCGGAAATTCTATCTCCAGGTAGCAGATATACACCACCTTTACACATATCCTTCAGAGCTGACTCCAGAATGTCATCGATGGCAAAGTTAAGGAGGAATGGAGAGATTGGACAACCCTGCCTAACCCCAGACAACTTAGAATGAATGAACGAAATATTACTCAACAATAATATGTATATTAATATATTCGGCAATGAGCCGAACCTACTATATGATAGGATGACTGATGGCGCTACTGGGCAACCCAAATTTCAGTCGACAGTCCGAGGTTCAAAATCGGAAATGTCAGTTCGAAATCCAGTAACCAATGAACTTCGAACATTTAAGTAGAAAAATTAGAAAGGTGCATTAGCGGCATTAGGGCAAATATTATAAGCTGAAACAGATAGGATGAATTTCAAATTGAATTATACAATAAAAGGGAGTTAATCCCTTAAGCTACTGATTTGGTGAATCTAAGAAGACATGTTAGCAATACATAAAACTTAAAGGTGTGTGCGATAAACGCATCCGCCCAACTTTATATTTAGCTAAAGTATTGCGGCCGCCTTCATTTCGGCCAGGCAGAAACGACTTCAGACTTTACGCTAATCACTGAGTCTTGAGTAATCAAGTAACATCAGCCAGTACACAGTAAATATGGCTGATCATCTTGTGTACAAACCTATAGATCCTAACTAAGTTGCAATTAGTGCTGAACCAGAACGTACTGAAACACACCTGACAATGTCGTTCTGTTATTTTTTTTTACCCAAATAAGCACACTGAATCAGTGAAACTGCACTAAAAAGGAACTCAGCGAAGAAAATTTTCTTTATCGATGAAATCATCTTCAGAGTCGGCTGTACAGTCGTATTTATACTTACCAAAATGAATAGTGGTCTATTTTTGAGTAACGTTGGGGGTGATATAATTGATATAATTACTCAGAAGTGGCTTTAGAAGTGAAAATTAAAAGTTGTAAATTACGTGGTACTCAACG